CATCGAAAGGGTTAATCGTAAGGATTATTTTTTTCCAAATGACATAGCATTTTAAATGAAAGGAAGATTAAGAAATTAAAATTTTATTCTGGAAAATTTCCTCTTACTTTTCCGTGCTTCCAACAGCTAATGTTATCATTTCACAATATTTACTAACTAGTATCTGCTCACTTAATAAAACATTATTTCTTTACTATAAGTACATGAAAAAAATAATAACGCGATACATATACAAACCTAGCTTTTTTAATATATTTAGTTTGTGTTCAATTATTATAAAAAAAATCAAATTTCGTGACTTTTCTTTCATTTAAAATGCAATGTTATTTAGGAAGAAACGATATTCATGATTTACCCTTTCGATGGTTATCATAAAATACATGTGTTTTTTTTTTCTTTCACATTTCATGAGTTCGATTCCTGGTTTTGGCAGGCGTTTTTTTTTAAAACTGTGAATGCAGTCTTACTTGTTATTAAAAATAAAATAATGTTTTCTTTCAGTAAAATATTGTATCTTCAATATTTAATATACTTTCCCTCCATGTGACAAACCCGTGGGACACCCTGTATATATAACCATACAGGTGGTGCTAAAGAAGTTTCACTTCAGTCGTGTGGTCATAAGCACACTCGTTTTTTTTGCACAGTTTTTAAAGGAACACTTAGGCCCGTATTATAGAAAGATTCTCAGTAATGAATCTAGTCTTGAGCATAGTTAGAAAGAGATGTCGCTATATATAGCACATAGGGGCATCCCTCTCTAACTGTACTCAAGTAAAGATCAACACTTAGTTGACATTCTGTAATACGGGCCTTAGTCATTTCCTGGCGTTGTGTAATCAGCACAGTAATGTTGCCGAACTATCGATATTAAAACTATCGACAGTTTACATCGAAAATCATGTACCCTATCGATAGAATCGATGCAACCGATAGTATCGAAACTATCGATAGCTCAGAACAAGGCAATACTATCGAATTAGTGCAATACTATAGATATTATCGATACTATTGTAGTTCGTTAATAACAAACTACTGATAGTATCGATACTATCGATAGTGTTGATTTTATCTGCAACAGTACTATCGATACGAGCGATTGTTTTAGACTTAACTCTGTGATTGACTATAATACCTGAAAATTGTAAACGATACTATTGCAAATTGTTAAACTATCGATAGTATGGTTGCAAATAAAATCGACAGTATCGATACTTGTTATCGATAGTTTGTTATTAACGAACTACAATGCTATCGATAGTATTTAAGTCTTCCGATAGTATTGGCTTTTTCTGTGCCAATATCAATCAATAGTATCGATACTATCGATAAGCCGATCGGTGGTCATACGATTGGTTGGCTATCGATAGACTATCGATTAATCATCGATCGGCAACACTGGCACAGTCGAAACACGGACCGTTTTAAAATTACGCACAATACACGAATGTGATATTTATAAGCATGATTGTGTGTACATTTTTTTATACGTCAATGAATTTAGTTTATTAATTTAGTTTTTGTGTTTGACGGACTGCTATTCAATGAACGACGTAGCTTCTAGTGAAATTGTTAAACTACATTAATGTTATTGTATTTCCTCGGCCCAAAAATGATTGTGGGCCGTTGTAAAATGTGTGATTCAATTATGATAAAAAAATCTATCTGTGACATTGTAAATTGAACCTAGTGCGATAATGTTAAGTGTTATAGTGCGTTGTACTTTGTACCTATCGTGTATATATAATGATAGTGGCGGGGGGGGGTACGCGGTGGAGTGTTGATATACCAAACGAATAAATTGATTATTTTGTAAAATTGTGTGCATTTTCATTTTACGTTACGGAATTTGAGTAAAATCACAGGCAAATAATGTTGCGCAGTAGATTGCTGCTGCCCAGGCTACCTGAGTTGGAAGGTAAACCCCGCACCTTTCCCGACGTCAAATCGCGTAATTTATTTTTCCTCTTCATTTTAATGTGTTCTCTTCCTTGGTATGGGTTTCGTCCTGTTCCGAAATGCAAATTCAATTTTTTTATTTATTTTTAAGCATTTAACTGCTAGATGTTTAAATCTAAAGAAAAGTTTACTAGAAAAAAATCCACGCGGACCAGGCAGCGGACGGGACTCGAACCCGCACCCTTCGCAATCCGGGCGAATGCACTGACCATTATCCTACCACGGCCCTATTCGCCGCGTCGAAATTTTCCTAGCCTTAAGCTGCAAGGCTAAAAATACTTAAAATTAATGCTTAAAAATAAATAAAAACATAACTATTCTTGCTATTTCTTCTTTCAAATGTTTTCATTTGACATTGTGGGTTACCTACAATGCAAAGAGATGGCGCTGCCTTGCAGCTTAAGGCTAGGAAAATTTCGACGCGGCGAATAGGGCCGTGGTAGCATAATGGTCAGTGCATTCGCCCGGATTGCGAAGGGTACGGGTTCGAGTCCCGTCCGCTGCCTGGTCCGCGTGGATTTTGTTCTAGTAAACTTTTCTTTAGATCAAATTATTTATTTCAGAACTAGGTTCCATAGTATTAGTTACATTTGATTTACTTATAAATATGTTAGTATAATAAAGAATTACAGAAAATATTGCTATTGCATATGGAGCTTCACCCAGTGTCGTAGCAGAGGAATGTCCCACCGGTCATTAAATACTCTCAGGAGGCTGTTGGTACTAGAGCGGAGCCAGGTGAGCACTGCCGGATTTAGGGGAGGGCAACCGGGGCGAAAGCCCCGGGGCCTCCACAAACGGGGGGCCCCCACAATAGAGACTTCAAAAAAAAAGACTTTCTAATTCCAACTCAGGGCGGGATTTAGGTGGCGGGCAGGGCATGCGGGGCAGTGGCCCAGGGGCCTCCTCAAAAGACAGGGGCCACAACAGAGATATTAAAAAAAATGTCATTGGGTCACTAACCAGACCCCCTCTGGTTAGTGACAGAGGGCGAATTGTAAGTGGCCCTGCCTAGATTTAGTAGGGTCCTCCCCACTTCATTGCCCCAGGGCCTCCACACCTCTAAATCCGGCCCTGCTAGTGAGCATGGAAGCGGACCTCTTTCTAATAATGGCATAAAAGTCGTCCGTATGCGCCTCTGCAAATATTTTTGACGCGCTGCAACTCCACGCCAGTCTCAACAGTATCCTGAAGGCGTTGTTATATTGAATACGCAGGTCGCTGTATGCCCGCTGCGTATAGTTGGTCCAAAGACTGCACGTATAGAATGATTGGCAGCAAGTCTTAAAAAGAGTGACCTTTACTGCATCCGTACACCGTGCAAATCTTCGGGCCAGCATACTACACCGCACAGCCAGCGACCTACGCTCTCTCTCTATGTCGATGCTATCCTTGAGATCATCAGTGACCCAATGACCCAAGTACTTAAACTTGTTCACCCAGCTTAAAGAACTACCACAAAGTGACACTCCAGGGACATCCGAGTAATTTGGAAATGGAGTTCGATTTAAATATCATGAGCTCACTTTTTTCCACATTGTACTTGAGCCCATGAGCCACCGCATAGGACTAAAAAAATTCTAGGCTACTTTCTTCTTAAGTCAGCTCTTCTATAATTATAATTTCATTGCTTGCATCTGTGAGCGAATGAAAAGGTAGGACAGGACAGGGGGCGTATATTTATAGTTAGCCTAGGGCGGTCGAAGTCTAAATCAGGCCCTAATCATTGATCAAGAGCAAGTCTGAAGCGTTCAGTAATTCCGCTCAGATCAGTCCGATGTAAAACTGCTCGGAATAATAATACGGCAATACTTGATCAATTAAATGAGCACTATACAGTAGAATCCGTTTATTATGACTCCGCCTATATTGACCAACCGCCTATTATGACGTAATTACACAACGAAGTTTGATTTTCATATAAAATTCATTGTAACAATGTCGGATATAATGACTTCGCTTACAGTGACTTGTCGCTTATTATGACCCATTTTTAATCAATTTTGTCCGTTTATAGTGACCGACATGGTACTTTACACCCACGGTAATGTTCGTTGATTCAAATTGAACATCAAGCATTGTTTTTAGTGATATCCTATGTAATAAAATGTTATCTCAACGTCGTAAAGCATTTACGACTGAGGAAAAAGGTGCAATAATATGCTGATTAGAAAATGGAGAATCAAACTCATCTCACAATCTTTTTTCACAAAAATGCTTTGTATGACGTCCGCTTAGTATGACGTGTTTGTCGATTCCCTGTATTCAGGAAAAATATTCACAATTCACTCTTATATATGTTAAATACGGTCTAGTAATTCACAAACAGTAACTTTACAAATATACGACATGTACGAACAAAATTTTCATTTGAAGTCCATACGCTATTCCGGTAAGTGGACGTGAGAACTTTATTGTAGTGTTGACTACCGCACAGAAGCTAATCGAAAAAGCCAACTCGATAGATTACGTGCTATACACTCCTAGCAATATTCGAATGCGTCACACCGACATTTTAACGTAAAATTAAAAAATGATTATTAAAATTTCAAGCTAGGCTGTGTGGGCATTGTTCCCTTTGCTTTCCCTGTAAAGGGAGAATCTTGAAATAAAAATATAACTGGAGTTTTTGGCGGGATTTCATAAAGTGCGGTTTGCGTCTTATTTTAATTATTTTTAAATTCGTTCATAGTGGATATTGTGAAATAAAATTGGTTTAATTTTGAGTTACAAACGTCTGCATAACTGAAGAATTAGTGGAATCTTTAAAATATACGCTATTCCGGTCAAGTGGACGTGAGAACTTTACTGTAGTGTTGACTATCTCACAGAAGCTTATTGAAAAAGCCAACGCAATACATTTCGTGCTAAATACTCCAAGAAACATTCGAATGCGTCACACCGACATTCTAATGTAATAATAAAAAATAAGATTAATAAAACCTAAGACTTGGCTGTATAGGCATTGTTTTCTTTGCCTTCCTTGAAAAGGGAGAATCTTACAAAGAAACGACTATCTGTCAGTGTCAGTTTGGTAAACAGTAAGAACACGTCATTCTTGCTCGAATTTCTGTTTATTATTAAAATTCATTCAGTCTGTTTTTGCAGTGGGTAATTAAATACCGAGGAATATCAGTAAACTTGTGTTTTATATTCTCATAACAATACATATTCTACATAAAAGCCTAAATAAGCTCCAATAAGAAGTCACCAGTGGACTTTATTCTAGTTTCGCAATAATAAACGGAAATTGATAAAGTTTTGTCGTTTTCTGGTTTAATCAGCAACTTTTAGGTTCCCAATGGATCAAGTGTACGAAGAGAGACAAGAGGCCACAATGACAAACCCACTAACATTCGGTAAGATGATGAACAACCCAACATCAATCTGCAGTCGTTAAAAATTAGTCATTTCCATATTATTTACACAAATGATTAACCTTGATTGGTATTATCGTATATGTTCTTTCATGTATATAAAAATATGTTTCCATATTTTTTTTCAGCCATTCCATATGGCAACTATTATCTTAAAAAGAAGTACTTTTTTGACTAAATAAACATGGAACACAGAAATGGAATAGTAAATTAATAATTTGGTTTATTCATTTCTAATAATAATAATGGTGTCGATTCTGGCGTGATTCTCCAAACTTAAAACAAACTTTAACATGAGTCTCTTTTAATGCTGTATAGAGAATGGGAGAATGGTTCTAGTTAGAAAATAAAATAAAAAAGCCTTTTTATAGCTACCAGATTTTTAACAATAACTAATTTTTGAAAATTCTAGTAATGTATGTAGCATGTTAGAGATACAAGCCCTCTCCCAGCCTCTACAGGAAGTCCTAGTTGTTGTTCGTATCTTTAAAGAAATGTTTCTAAAATTTGCTGTTTCTAATCTTCTCCATCTTCTGTTTATTCCAGTGTTGCAGTTTGTTGCAACGAACGGGTGGTATATAGTCGGTGCTGCAGCAGCCCTCCTCTACTTGGGGAACAAGCTCCGACCACGATATGAGCAGTGGAAGCAAGCTCGGGAAGATGCTGAGTACCACAAAAGTAATTTTGAGTAGAAATTTTATTAAAATATCTCTGTGTTGCATAATCAATCAATAATATATTTATACTAACACTTAAATGCGAAGAGATGGTGCTGCCTTGCAGCTTAAATAAAGCTAGAATGTATTCCACACGGATGTCAGGGCCACGGTAGCATAATTGGTCAGTGCATTCGCCTGGATAACGAAGGGTGCAGGTTCGAGTTCCTTCTGCTGCCTGGTCCACGTGGATTTTTTTCTAGTAATGTTTTCTTTATATTTAAACATCTAGCAGTTAAATGCTTTATATAATAATATAATATTTCTAGTAATATTTCCTTTAAAGTTTCGCTTTAAAAAATTGAGGACTTTCTAGTGCAGCCCCACAGTTAAAAGCATACTGTAACGTTAATTTGAATAAAACATTTTAAACATATTGTGTTGTTCTCAGACCCAGATGTGGCTTTAGCGCGCATGGAGGCGATCCAGCGCGCGCGGGAGAAACAACAACAACTGTTGTTGGAGGCCTCGCAGCAGGCACTCCAACAACAGAAAGAGGTGATGTTATTTTTTTTTTATTTATTTTTAAGCATTTAATTGGTAGATGTTTAAATCTAATGAAAAGTTTACTAGAAAAACAATCCACGCGGACCAGGCAGCGGACGGGACTCGAACCCGCACCCTTCGCAATCCGGGCGAATGCACTGACCATTATGCTACCACGGCCCTATTGGCCGCGTCGAAATTTTCCTAGCCTTAAGCTGCAAGGCAGCGCCATCTCTTCGCATTGTAGGTAACCCACAATGTCAAATGAATACTTTTTCAAGTATTAAACATTTGACGCGGCGAATAGGGCCGTGCTAGAATAATGGTCAGTGCATTCGCCCGGATTGCGAAGGGTGCGGGTTCGAGTCCCGTCCGCTGTCTGGTCCGCGTGGATTTTTTTCTAGTAAACTTTTCTTAAGAGGTGATGTATTGCTCTAGGCCAGTGGTTCCCAATTAGGTTTTTCTACGTACCACTTCAAAGAAGACCTCAAACTCGCGTACCGTAAGTGAGGGTTACTTTAGCTCGGGCGGGTAACTTTGTCCCAAATCAGAAAAAAATGGGTGCGTGTACTTATGTAGGCGCGTGAGAAGTTATCCTTCTTTGGCATCGTTTAAAATTAGTTTTTAATTGCATGCAAATAATTAATTACAAAAAATTAATAAAAAGTCTGGAAAAGGACACAGTCAATAAAGTTCAGTTTTAATTTGAAAAAATAAATAAATAATCAAAATATTCAATTAAAATCGCTACTGAATATAATTTATTAGAATATATGTGATTTGCACTTGTATGAAACTCAAACACGTAATCCGAATATACAAACTAGAAACATGTGGATAAATATTATAAATATGAATACCTATAACTGTTACTTTATTACAAAAAATAAAGATGTGGTTTTTGGTTCTACTACACCAATGGTCAAGAGATGGCGCTGTAGTCTCCTGAATCGCGCTTTGGTTCCGTTGTTCCAGATCAATAAATACTTTTGATATTATAAATATGAATACCTATAACTGTTACTTTATTACAAAAAATAAAGATGTGGTTTTTGGTTCTACTACACCAATGGTCAAGAGATGGCGCTGTAGTCTCCTGAATCGCGCTTTGGTTCCGTTGTTCCAGATTAATAAATACTTTTGATAGGCCTTCACAATGCAGTCGTTAGCACCCACTAAATAGAGATTCTATTTCTATTTTGTTGGTAGATTTTCTTAATGTGCGGTAAACACAAAAGTAACAGCATGAAGTTGGTTGGTCGGTGGTTACAGTGATGCGCGCGCATCTTAAAATTTCACTCTCATCATTTTTTCATAACGACGACGAATTTTAATTGATTTAATATTAATTATTATTATTATTAATTTAAATAAAATTTAATTAATTTTTCATAACGAATTATATTATATTGATTATATTACAAATAAGCAAGTAAGGTGTGAGGAGCTCGATGGCGCGGTTGGTTAGCGCGTTCGGCTGCGATCGTTGAAGTTAAGCAACTTCCGCAGTGGTCGGTCATTGGATGGGTGACCAAAAATTTACTATCTGGAGCTCCTCCGTGCGTCGGAAGGCACGTAAAGCCGTTGGTACCGGCTGCATCTGCAGTCGTTAGCGCCTACTCTTACACAGTAATATGTATTCATAGAATGTACAATGTGACATGACAGCGCAGCGTGGAGAAAGATATTTTTTCGTAAGAACCTTCTAAAAGTCTTAGAATTTTTGAGAAAGAAACCTTTTGACCTTTTAAGAGGTTCTTTCGAAATATAGACATTATATTAATAATACGGGATATAGGGATTATTTTTTATGTATATATAAGATAACTTATTATTAAGAAAAAATTGAAAGAACTACGCGAAACAGGTAGCAGACGGGACTCGAACCCTACAATGCGAAGAGATGGCGTTGCCTTGCAGCCTAAGAAATGCTAGAGAAACTTCGAGACGGACTATTAGAGCCGCGGTAGCATAATGCTTAGTGCATTCGCCCGGACAGCGGAGGGTGAGGGAGTCGAGTCCCGTCTGCTGCCTGGTCCGCGTGGAATTTTTTCCAGCAATATTTTCTTTGGATTTAAACATCTAGCAGTTAAATTAGCTAATTTATCATATTTAAATTAAAAAACGAACGAGCCTTACAGTAGTCGCGTATGATGTGTAACATTTGAAACCTCACCTTATATCAGTAAAAAAAAAAACCTACTACAAAAGGAACAAACCATTTGAACATTATGTTCTAAAATCAAATCAAATAGCGCGCGCTTTCGCGACTTCCTGTTACACACTTCCGTCCCATTTCACGAAATCGCTCCCGCAAATTGCAGGAAAGCGAGAGAAAAGATATAAAACATCAAAAATCTCTCTTCGCTTCGGTGTAGAGCTGAAGTGTAGACTACAGTTTTTGTTCTCAGACTTGTATTATACACAATGACATTCATCTATGATTCTTCTTGCAAAGCAACCTACATGCAAAGTCTCAGCCCGATCGGTTTAAAATTGACTAAGTTTCATACAAACTTTCATTCCCTATTTTATCCCCTTGGTGGTAGAATTGATCAAAATCCTTTCTTAGCGGATGCCTACGTCATAACATCTACCTGCATGCCAAATTTCAGCCCGATCCGTCCAGCGGTTTGGGCTGTGCGTTGATAGATCACTATGTCAGTCAGTCAGTCACCTTTGAGTTTTATATATATATATATAAAGAAGATATGTTCTTTAGATTTAAACATTTAGCAGTTAAATACTTAAAAAAAATAACATATTATATTTATGTTTTTATTTATTTTTAAGCATTTAACTGCTAGATGTTTAAATCTAAAGTTTACTAGAAAAAAATCCACGCGGACCAGGCAGCGGACGGGACTCGAACCCGCACCCTTCGCAATCCGGTGAATGCACTGACCATTATGCTACCGCGGCCCTATTGGCCGCGTCGAAATTTTCCTAGCCTTAAGCTGCAAGGCAGCGCCATCTCTTCGCATTGTAGGAAACCCACAATGTCAAATGAATAGTTTTTCAAGTATTAAACATTTGAAAGAAGAAATGGCAATTATAGTTATGTTTTTATTTATTTTTAAGCATTTAACTGCTAGATGTTTAAATCTAAAGAAAAGTTTATTAGAAAAAAACTTATTATATGTTTATTCGGTTGTAGCGTGAGGAACGCAAACGCCAGGAGTTGGTAGAGAGACTGGAGAAGTATGGAGCGGCCACACAACAAGGACACAAGCTGGGCACTCCCGGGGACGGTATGTATCACATAAAAAAGTATAAAAAAATACTTGTTTTCTTAAATAACCTAACATTAGGCGGTGCATAAGGCATAAGGGAATGGAGGCAGCGCACGCATCACTCATATATATACGCTGGTTCATGCGTCATGCTCGTGAACGGGTGCTGCCAGCGGAGATGAGTCTGCCCTAACTACTTTGAAAGGAGATTGCTCAAATTGGCCTAAATGCACAAAAAATATTGACATACACAGTAATTCTTGGCGTAATTTATAATTTGATTTACAGTCATTAGATTTCAACGGACACCTTTGTATAATATATTTACTTTAAAAAGGACTTTTAATTTTACACCGGAAATGACACCTGATTTTAAAAGTTACTCTTATGCATTACCTTTAAAAACAGGCCACTATCTGTTAATCTACATGTTCTATATACCTGAATCTAATCCATAATTTCGTTACTTGGCTTGATTTCCCTAGTTTACTATGTAACTTATTTATTTTTTATTATTTTAATATGTTCAGTGTATATGGTTTATAGAAGTTCTGAGGGGTGTCCGTCAATAATATTCGTTTCTACAGTAATTTATATATAATTTCGAAACTAGGAAACAATTTTTCATGATTATTGGTCTTTAGGCCAAACATGTATGGAAGCTGAGCAATCTCCTTTAAGATGTAAATGTTTAATTACACCTATTATAAATAACTCTGTTTGTATTTATACTGTATGAAACAGCAATCAAAATGAAGGTGAACAATTAATGTTAAATTTCACATTATGTAATGAAAGGTGACTTCATGGATCATCTCTGAAGTCATTTTTCAACTTGACGACTCTGTAAATAATAAAACAGGGAGAAAACAACAGCCCTTGCTGAGTTTCTTGCCGATCACACTTTATTGACTAATGTTTAAGGAGTCCGTAAAAAGTGGATATTCATCATTCTGTTGTGTATTTCAGTAAAAATAACCAAATCAGAAACTCCATTTTCAAGTTGCCGCGAAAACGTTTCTCTGGACAATATGGCGTCTTACTAGTGTGTGACGTTACACGACTGTTATTAAAACGTCAAACGATACTATGTAATATCACTTTAACCGGAAGTTTACTTGCGTGTGACGTCATTTTAGTTTCCGCCAATCCCAAGCGTTTTGGGTCACGTGACAATAGATGAGAAAACTATTATCTTTTTCGTGAGTGTTTAGTAAAATTATGAATATTTTTTTGTAAAAATAGTAAAAACCTCTGCCAATATTCATTCTAAACACAGATGCTAACCATTGACACTTTATTTTTAACACTGTCAAATACCCTATTTCGGATTCTATATCGATTTCTTTTAAAAAAATGTTCAATGTACAGTTTTGACTTTCCTACCATTTTATTATATGTACAGTATTGTCACGCGTTACTCTCGTGACGCACACATATACAGAAATATGTGTGTCGGTTGCCAAGCGACGCGGTCTCGCCGAACCAATATCGAATTCGTATCGTTTGCGAGTCCGAAATGTCATTGTGTCAAATGTGTACTGATTTTTAGCTCTCGTTACGTACTTTGTAATCATAATCATAATAATCATAACCAAAATCATTGATTCAGTTTAGGCTGTTACAAGCACTCATGAATGTCTAGAAGCTACGCCATCGGTTCGTAAATCTACGGCGGGAGACCTTGTACTGAGAAGAACCGGCAAGAAACTCAGCAAGGGCTGTTTTTTTCTCCCTGTTTTATAATATTTAAAGAGTAAATAATAATATTTAAAGAGTCGTCAAATTGAAAAATGACTTCAGAGGTGATTCATGAAGTCACTTTTCATTACATAATTATTAAATATATATTAATTGTTTACATTGTGGCGCTGCTGTTCAAGTTTCCATACAAAATTTGACATTGATATTTCGGTTTGCAAACTATTCGAATTCGATAATGATTCGTGCTAAGGGGTACAGTTCTGTCTCGCTCGCTCGATTGAATGTTTATTTACAGAAGTGTGCTTGTGTGAGAGAGTTGCTTATGTAGTTGAGTCGGATCATATTTTATTTGATGCTAGTATGAGCGTACCGTAACTTCCCTTTTGCGTTTTAATCGTCGGTCACAGGATGGGTGACCAAAAATCTTCTATAGTCGTGTTATATTAAATATGAAAGTACTTAAATAAAATCTCCCTAGGCTGGGTCCATTTGTACCCAGTCCAAGGGGGGGGGGGGGTCATGACACCCCCCCCCCCTGGATCCGCCCTTGATTCAACTTCAATTTAGAAGTACAAAAAGGAGTTTCCATAGGTTCTCGCTAAAATTAAAAACTCCGCATGCTTCTAAACTACAAAAAATCATTAAAATAAAATGTACTTAAATAGCCTATTTTTGTGGTAATTGGCTTTTGAAGGCGGATAGGCTAAAAATCATAAATGCGAGGAATCTAAAAAAAATTGTTGACGTTACTAGTTGGACCACCCTGTATGTATTTTATCCGTTACCCTAGTATCCCATAACACAAGCCTTACAGTGCTTACTTTGGGGCTAGGCTAATTGGTGTGAGTGTTGGAAATATTTAATTATAATTATGTATTGTTAGACTACCTCCCTCTGAGTGGCGGCGCCTCCACGTCTTCGTATCGCGCGCCCAAGCGTTCCGCGTGCTCCAAGGGGGGCTGCGGCCGATAAATATATACATACACTATATTTTGTTAACATAGAATTGCATATAGTTTCCACAAATTTAAAAAAACTGTGTAAAATATTTTGAACTTTATTATAACACATATTAAAATTATTTTTGTTTATATCTTTGCTTTATGCATTTAATAACAGCTAATTATATTTTTTTTTGTATATTAAAGTTTAGGATTGGTTAGCGTCACATAACTGCAATGTGTGAACTTTTTGAGAATTGACAAGATAACAAATTTTAAGACCTTATATTTTGGTGCTACCGTTTTTTATTTAATTTACAAATTTAATTTGAAAAACTTTTCTATAAAATATTAACTATTTTTTTTTTAATTTCAGTCACATTTGTAATATGATAATATTTATCATTGTTATATATTTTACGGAAAAAAAATTATAACTTTGTATTCAGCCTCAAAAGTACTGCATGTCTACATACGATGTTAATACTTCGTATGGAATACAGTGCGCCCAAGATCTCGTGGCGCTTGAAACGACATAGACAGGTGGGCTCTACCTGTGAATAAGTGGTAAAAATGATGATTAATAAGTACTTCCGTAAAATCTCCTCAGTAAAGGGAACGCTATAATTTATAATAACATGGAAAGATTAATAGGAAATATAAAAGGCTTATTTATACCTTTATCTATAAATAAAAGGCGTATTTATACCTTTATCTATAAATAAGAGGCGTATTTATACCTTTATCTATTAATAAAAGGCGTATTTATACCTTTATCTATAAATAAGAGGCGTATTTATACCTTTATCTATTAATAAAAGGCGTATTTATATCTTTATCTATAAAAAAGGCATATTTATGCCTTTATCTATAAATTAAAGGCTTTTTCATACCTTCGTCTATAAATAAAAGGCTTCTTTATACCTCGCCAAAATTAGTTGCGATTTCTGCCGCGCGCGCCACAAGAACTTGGTCACACTGTAAGCAGGTAGATTGATAATAAAGTTTTAGTAATAATTGAGGGCGATTGTACAAATATTCTCTTACTAGACTGTGATTAAATTAAAATGTTTGGAAAATTAAATAAGAATAATATAGTCAATAAAGTATGTTCTGATTTACAAACTATTTTTGCATTTTTATTTGTAACCCACTATATTAAATACCCTAGATACAGGATCATGAATAAAATCGTGGCCGAAACCCGTCAAAAAGGTACATTAAATCGTATTCTAAAGAAAACAGGAGAAATTTCAGAAAAACAGGAGATCTCCTGTAAAATCGGGAGACCTGGCAACACTGGTTGCAGGCATTGTTGTATTGTATAGGTGTGGGTATAGTAATATTGTGAAAAAACTAGTGTTTCGGGATTCCGGGACAATAAGGTCATATTACTGGACACCTGGCAACCCTACCATCCATAATATGTAGCAGAGAGTTTTTGGCGGGATTTGATCGAGTGTGGTTGGCGTCTTATTTTAATTATTCTTAAATTCGTTCATAGTCGATATTGTGAAATAAAATTGGTGTGATTTTGTGTTACAACTGTCTGCGTAACTGAAGAATTAGTAGAATCGTCAAAATATACGCTATTCCGGTCAAGTGGACGTGAGAATTTTATTGTAGTATTGACTACCTCACAGAAGCTTATCGAAAAAGCCGGCTTGATACATTTCGTACCAAACACTTCAAGAAACATTAGAATGCGTCACACCGACATTCTAATGTAAAAAGAAAATCAGAATAATTTAACTTAAGACTAGGCCGATGGGCATTGTTCCCTTTGCCTTCCCTGAAAAGGGAGAATTAAACAAAAAAAATGTAGCATGACGTACTGTCGCATGTTGTTGCCTCGGCGTAAATCAGGCTTAACGCACACGCCGGAGAAAAGGCCTCCGCGAACAAAAGTCCGTCGTCTGCGCAGGCCATTAAGAGTAGGGTTGCCAGATGCTGGCTTATTATCCGGGACGTTTGCAATAGGGGTGATGACGGGGTACAGTAAACGAAATTCTATTTAGTCCGTCAGTTAGATGATCAAAAAATAATGGACACGTATTTTTTCTTTGGGCAATCAACCAAAAAATGACAAAGTTATAGCGCGTCAAAGTTTGGGAGTAGGGGCTCATGACGTCACTTTTTAGTGAATACTCGCTTAAAAGTGTACTCAAACGTGACGTCATGCGACTTTTCAAATCAATATATCTCTGCAATGTTTATATTATGTGAAAAAAGAAAAAATACGTGTCCAATACTTTTTGATAATCTACCGGATAAACGAAGAAAAAAAATTAGTCATCATCCCTATTGTTTTTGCGATTGTTTCCCCGGCAATCTGGCAAGCCTCATTAAGAGGCTCTGCCTTTTTTCATGTACATTTTAAAATAACAGAGCTGGTGCGACATTGCTAATGTTGAGGCCTAGTCCTAGCCCTTAGATGTAATATTCTACAGGTTTTTTTTTCTAAATGGTAAGTGTTAAAATGTTTACAAATACTATAGCACTCGTGGTCAAAGTAATAAATCAAGTCAAAGTAAGTGGCAGTCAAGTCAATCCCCCTTTCCCTATGTTTCAGTAAAAGTGTGGGGATTTACTGGAACCTCCCCGTGGACTTTTTCAGGGATCGTCGAAAGACACTTTCCGCCATTTTGTTTCACTTGCCAACACTTGTGCATGTTCCCGAACACTTAGTGGTTAATAATCCACCATTGTTAGACACTAACATCCGCCACAACACAATTTTTAACAAGAAAAACAAAACTGCTAAAGTAACGCTTCCCGATCCCGCCAAAAAGTCCAATTCTACACATGTTGTAGCTGATTATAAAACAGTTTTTTCTTTCTTTCTTTAAGGCATACGATAACGTCGCCGTTACCATATTATGCCTACTAACTTTATGATCGTAACCAAATAGTAGACTAGTTTGACAACCTCAGTGGCTGAGTGATTTGTACGCCGGGTTTCATGGTGTCGTCTACTTGAGAGGTCCCGGGTTCGAATCCCGGTGGGGGCTGATGTTTGTGTGATGTATACGAGCATTTGTACTCCAGTCATAGATGTTTAATATGTCTATATATATAAAACTCAAAGGTGACTGACTGACATAGTGATGATAGATCACTGTTGAAACTTGTTATATTTAATGAGTGTGAGAACTAAGTAAATAAGTTAAAATCTAAGAAAGAAATAATTTTGTCTAAAGCATAGATGTCTAAATTACCTTTAATTTGTAATCAGTAATAATAAACTTTATTGCATATGACAAGTGTGTACATCTAAAGAAAAGTTTACTAGAAAAAAATCCACGCGGACCAGGCAGCGGACGGGACTCGAACCCGCATCCTTCGCTATCCGGGCGAATGCACTGACCATTATGCTACCACGGCCCTATTAGCCGCGTTGAAATTTTCCTAGCCTTAAGCTGCAAGGCAGCGCCATCTCTTCGCATTGTAGGTAACCCACAATGTCAAATGAATACTTTTTCAAGTATTAAACATTTGAAAGAAGAAATAGCAATTATAATTATATTTATTTTTTAAGCATTTAACTGCTAGATGTTTAAATCTAAAGATGCATCGCGATAATCGCCCGGATAGCGAAGGATGTGGGTTCGAGTCCCGTCCGCTGCCTGGTCCGCGTGGATTTTTTTCTAGTAAATTTTTCTTTAGATTTAAACATCTAGCAGTTAAATGCTTAAAAAATAAATAAAATCATAAGTGTGTACATGGTATTTGGGGTACAAGGTTTTATAACATGTGACGCCCTGCAAGGGCATAGCAATTTTATGGTAGCATGCAATGTAAAAAATATTTTTAATTGTAGATTAATGATTAGATTAATTCAAACAAAAAATCAATTCACATGACAAATATTAAATTAAAATTTCATTTCATTAAAATATATCTTGTAAATAACAAGTCTAATACATACAATATAAAAGTAAATTTAAAATGTCGATCATAATTAGACTAAAATTTAATTTCATTAAAAAAATATAAAAAATAAATAGTAGGTACATAATAAAAATAATATTAACATCAAAATTAAATGACTTTTACATATTATATTAAAAATCTAAATATATTTATCTTTAAAGTATTCGTCTAGACTGACTAGATTTTTCACTTAGCCAACCCAAATAGTCAATGAAACATATGTCAGACATGCATAGCCCTGATTCCAAATATTAATGTGACTTTAGAAGGTACTTTATAGACTTGTGTAAAGATAATGTGTTATTTCTAAATTTTTAGTTGTGTTTTTATATAAAGAGGTCCGACAAGTGTTTCATCTTTTCCATAGGATTTTTAATAATTTTTTTTTTTTTTTTAAAAATGTCTAAATTGTTTAAAAATAAGTTTCACTCCAAAAACAAAAATGTAGCCGTGTATTAAAAAAAATTGTCACTTTGTGTTGTGATTATGTGATTATGGAAGACGGAAACATACATTTACTTCACGGGCGCTTTCTCGATTGTGAGGAGCAGGTCAGGTCGCACAGGAATTCAGCTTTCTTGGTACAGAATAGAAATGCGCTCTAAACTCAACTATACAATTGATTAATTAGTGAAAACAGCTGACTAACTAGGTCTGTTGAAGTGACCGCCACCTTACAGTACCCCTAACACGAACCAATATCGAATTCGTATCGTTTGCGAGTCCGAAATGTCATTGTCAAATGTGTACTGATTTTTAGTTCTCGTTACGTACTTTGTGCCGCTGCTGTTCAAGTTGCCATACAAAATTTGACATTGACATTTCGGTTTGCAAACTATACGAATTCGATAATGGTTCGTGCTAGGGCTACAGAAGTTCACAGTAAAATAACACCAGCTTTTGCTGGTGTTGTGTTTCTGTCGGTGAATACAGGAGGAAATTCACCTAAAGGAAATGCTTTATAAAATGCTAACGCTTACGATTTCATCTGCCATCAGCTGCCTGAGGTTTTCAAATGTTTCGCGCTCTTTTTTTTCTTTTGCATTGGTAAAAACAACATTAAAGAAAATGAGCGTGAGCTATTTGAAAACCTTCGGCGGTCAGAAATAACGAAATAAAATCGAAAGCGTAAGCGTTTTCCAAAGCATTTCCGTTAAGGGGCCCATATACGGAACGA